GATTAGTTAGATAAGCTCTACTAAATGTACATAATGATGTCGAAATTACGCCTAATGAAGTAATTGACCAGTTTGTTAAGAGCAAAAATAGAAAGCTAGCCTTAATTCTTTAAAATTTAATTTAATATTTTTACGTATAAAAATATAGTCATTGATACCAGTATATAAGGATCAATTAGAAATGGTGATATTAAAATGTATGGTATTAGGTATGAGTAGTATTTGATGGATACATTTAAATTACCCTCCCCCCTTGATGAATTACTGGATCCGCTCCTGAAAATCAAATTATCTAATATATATATATATATATATATATGAATTCTTTTTTTTTTATGAATTTATTGAATTTAAACTAGTAAAAATTAACGTGACGTAAAATATTTACAGTAGTTATTAATTAAAATTAATATGAATGAATAATTTAATGAGACAGTTTATGTTGTACGAAATTATAATACTCGTATTGAATAAACTACAAATAAAAAATAAATGAAATAATAAACTAATAAAATAATAAACTACGTACTACTAGTGATATCAAAAAAATATCGATGTTTTAAGTTAAAAAAATCGATGTTCAACATCGGTGTTTAAGTTTCGATATTTTGCATCAGTGTGTCATGTTTACCGATATTTTAATTTCGATGTTTGCTTTATTTCCGATGTTCAAGGATATTACACAAAATATTTTTATAATTTTTCATTTGTAAACAATAAAATATATACGTCTAATTATAATTTAATATTAACTTGGTTAATAAAACAAGTCAGGATGACTGTATTTTGATCTTAATTTATAATAATATAGTCTTATCGCTAGAAAAATAATATAATAGTCTTGTATTTCTGTAATACCTAATTATAGAAATAAACTAAAACATTTCCCAAAAATAAATAAACGAAACCAGTTATATGGAAAATCGGCATCAAAATTGATTATTTTATACAACTTTACCGATCAATTTTGCCTTCAATATGAATGACAACATTGTTTTCAATTTAAAGTAATATATAAACATTTTTATTATAAATTACGAATTTATTGTAATTATATTTGATTGTGAACTTTATTTATTTAATTTAGATTACATTTTTTTACGCAATGATTTTTTTTTAATCTTTCTAATAAATAAGTAAATAAATTGGGTTGATTGTGTATGTTTAAATTTTAAATGTTTATAATTAATTTAGCTTGTGGGCTATGGCAAAGAATAATAATTATTTTCCTATAAAATGTATGTTTGTTTTTTTAAAAAAACATCGATGTTTTTCTAAATACATCGAGTTCTTGACTTCGATGGTTCTTTAATTTATTGATATTTTCACCATCTATGTTTCGTTATAAATAAATCAATACATTGATACATCAATGTTCACGAAAAATTTGCCATCCCTACGTACTACTAATACGTCAATATTAGCTCCATATTGGTAACTTTAAAACTTAAGTTGTTTTCTACATTCATTTTATTAAAATGTCGTAGATATTTATAAAATAAGCTAATATCAAATAAACCAAAAAATATCTAATGATAATAATTAGATAATAAGGGCCCGGATTTCAATGCAAAGTACGTATTTTTTTGGTTGATCATACATAATGCTCACTATGAACATAATTCGTTTTATGTAACGAGGGTTTCAAAGCTACAAATTTTATTTTGCATTTTTCAACGTTTTTCTTTTTTAGTATTATTGGGTCATTTTGTTGGTTTTTAATGCATATTTATCGGCACTGCTTTTTATTTTATAGTGTCATTAAAGCAAAAGCTGACTATGGTTCTTCCCTATTCACATCAGCTTCCATTTGTCACAGGAAAAAACATAACTCGATTTTAAACTCTTGCTTACGTATCATAATGGGGGCTATTCAATTCACCCCATCTCCAAGTATGGAGGTGGAATGCTCGTGTCCTCCTATAAAACTCCGAAGTAAACGATTTGCAGGTAAATTTATTTTTAAAGATATGTCCACTTCCAATTCTACACTATTTTCAGATTTTTCAAGAATTAAAAATGCATGGAAATACGATGCTTCAGTCACAGCATCATTTTCTCACTTTTCAAGCTTAGCTCTCCATCCTCAATCTCACTTGCAAATCTACGATAAACCCTTCTCTGCGTTAATTTTCAATCCACCTATTATTATTTCTCCCAATCTTCTCGGTCACACTCCAAAAACCCTAGCTTCCTTTCCTAACATCCCTCTTAACTCCCTCTTCTCGGATTCCAATTTCCTAAACTAAATTCTTGTATTCACTGACAGATCTGAATCTATCCTATCTTCAGGATTTTTTTTTTCATATCTCCCATCAATAAATCGTTTCTTCCAATATCCACCCATCGGTATCTTCATTTACTATCGAAGCCTATATCATCATTCACGCACTTCAATTTATTTTTTATAAATTCCAAAAAATTTATAATTGTTTCCGATTCTCAATCATCTCTGCTTTTTTTCAATCTTACCCCTTCAACTCTTCTATTTCTCCACTCATTCTGATGATAAAATCTCTAACATATCAAATTTTCTTAACACAGAAAGCCGTAGAATTCCTTTGGATTCCAAGTCACATTGGTATCTTAGGTAACGAAACAGTTGATCGACTAGCCACATCTACCAAAAAAATAACTGTTCCTTCTTCAATAAAAATAGCTACATCTGATTAGCTTCCCATTTTTCAAAAAACTCTAAAAAAAAGTATGGTCTGACCTTTGGTCTTCCCTTCACCCTTACTTCGCTACTTGGCACAGATCTATATCCTCTTATATGTCTAACTCTTCTTGGTTCCGTGGTCTGGACCTACCTCCACATCGTCTCTTTTTCTCATCTCCGCTTTGGTCATAATCTTCTCCCTCCTCATTAATTTCTCCTCTCACTTAATTCTCTCCCCTTTGCACCCTCCACAACCATGAAGTTGTTTGTGATCGTCATCACATTCTCTTCTCTTGCCCGTCTCTTCTTCGTCTTCACAATTAATTACTCTCACAGCTCTCTTCCTTAGGTTATACCTTTCCTGATGTAATTCTTCTCTTCAATTCTCGATCTTCCTTCGTCATCACTCTCATCATCCATTTTATCTCCAACGCTGGTTTCCTCATTTAAAATACTTTACTTACTACGAATTGTTGTTATCTAATTAGTTTAGCATTAATCATTTATATTAGTATTACTATTATTTTATTTTATTTGTAATATCATTTTTTTTTCTTCTTATCTAAATTCTTATTTTAGTTAATTTTTGTTAATGCTTTTTTTATTGATGCTTTTTTTGAAACTCTTTTATGTTTTTTTTGTTAATTATATTGCTTTAAAATCCGAGCCCTATTAATAACATATTACTTATTTTATGTCAGTTGTTATAGTATTACTTCTTTTTAATAATTTTTTTCTACAAAAATAGATTTAATATAATGTTATATGATAATTAATTAAAAAAAAAATCATAGCCACACACGATTTTTTTAATTTAAATTTTATCATCATACAATGTACAAAACAATAAAATTTAAAATAAAGAAAAAAATATAAAAACAAACGTATTATTATTTTTTTATAATCAATTAATATATTACGATTTAAATGTATTATACATTCATAAGAATAAAGTATGAATAATATTTATGTTATATTATTTTATTACAAGCATAACTAATTAAATAATGTTTTAAATTGTTTTAAATAAATGTTTAATAATTTACACTTAAAATCTACCTTGCTCTTTTGTGTAAATTGAAAAATTCGGTTATCCTTTGTTATTGATGTCACTATTTTATTTTTTTTTTTTAACGGGAAGCTGTTTGTGTAACTTTATTATAATTAGTATTTGTTTAATATTTCAAATATTTGTGATTTGAAAATATTTTTTTTTATCTATATAGAGTTGAATCACAATCATTAAAAATATGATAATATACATTCAATAAATATAAATCAGACCATCTTTTAGGATAGCTTTTAAAATGCGATGATTCATTATATCGTCTTGAAATTAACGCAAAGAACACGACTAACATAAAAATAAGGAAAAATAATCAGATCCAGTGCTCTGTAGAGTTTTTCGTGTATTTTTCGGTTTTCTTTTTATTAATTATGCATGTGATGAATTCATAGCAATGGACCATTAACAGATCTGTTAAGTTCACCATATAAATTTTTCATCATGCCATCTAGATTGATCATTCATCGAAAAATTATAATGATTACAATTATAAGTGATTATTACAAATTGAGCGAACGAACATTAACTAAATAATTTAGAGCGCGTTGACGTATAATATACATATTATGTACTCGAAAAATCAGAGGTTTCAAATAGGAGATATGCACGTCTCCAGGACTACCTCGGGCTCTCGATTTAATGTCATTTTTTAATAATACTTCCTATGTATATACTCAGTGTAAATAAATATATTAAAGAAAGAAGTGTTGACTTCAATCAAGCGTGATAAGTGATTGCTAGTTCACTGCGAATCGATTCCGCGTTGATGAAGTGATCGGTAAAAAATAAAAAAAAAAAAGTCCCATCAGAGTTTGTTGTACGGTAATATTTTCGAAAAGTCGTGTTGATCGGAAAAACCGGTACGGACGTCACCGACGCGCGCGGGACGGTGTACGAGATCGCCCCCCGCAGGACACATCTCTGAGAGTCTGCCGAGACGTCGGACCAACGGGCTGTCGTGCGAGGCGTCTGCGACGGAGACAGCCGGCGCGGCCGGGCAGAAAACGCGAAACGTTCCGGTGGGCGCGCGAACCCATGACGAGGACGAGTACGACGCGAGCGAGCGGAAAGCGCACAGTGGTCACGGCAGAGCGCGCGAGAGGGATCGATGCGCGCGCGGTAGCGGCCACCGTGCGTGCGCGATTCACCCTCCGCGGGCCGCCGCGGTCGTGGGACGGGATGGGGGTGGGAAACCGGCCGGTACGCGCGGAGAAGCTCACCCTCGTGCGCGCGTGTACCCGCCGAGTCGCCGCCGCCGCAGCCACCACCACTATCGTCGCCGCCGTCGTCGCCGTCGTCGCCGCCGCCGTCGCAACCCCAGAAACGCGATATCGTTCGGTCAGTCGGTCGGTGAACGCGCGGCCGTGTACGCACAGACGTCGACGCGCGATACAAACTTCCCTCGGACCAACCCGACCGTTGTCGTCGTCGTGATAGTGATATTTCGCCGGCGGTTTTTTTTTTTTTTTTTTTTTTTTTTCCTAAAACCCGTTTCGCTGATACACGCGCAACGACACCACGGCTGATGGTCGGTTCGGGTTTTTATTTTTAATTTTAATTTTTTTTTCCCATCCGTCGTGCGGCACTTCTGCGTAACGCATTCCGGTGCCCGTCGCGGACATGGGCCGCCGCTGCAGTCGCCACTGCGGCCGTGCCGCTCGTCGTCCGGCGGCCGGACCGCCGCTGATCTCGCGTCCTGTGGCGTACAGATGACTGCTGCAGGCCATCCGGTAACCGGCGATAGGACAAAAAGACGCTGCCGCCGCCACAAGACACCGCAGACACCGCGATCGACCACGGCGGAGACGCTGCCACCGCCGCGGCGTCCGTGTCGCCACTGTTACTGCTCCGCTACGTGCCTCGTGAGTACCAACACCACCTCTGCAACTGACAACGCAGATTCGTGCGAAAATATTCTTTGAATAATAGACCCCCCCTCCCCCGAGTTTTTTTTTAACCCCAGCCACCATGCGTGATCAAGACACTTGTACATAATTTAAGTGTGTACGGTTCACTGATGGTAAACACTAAAATTATAAATGTCTTACTAAAGTTCGATTGGACGTAGTAGAGATATCTGTAAAATACTTGTCAACAAATACCATCCACCCGATATTCAAGCGGGTTCTAAGCTAGCCTAGGTATGACAAATATAGATTTATTTTTATATTAAATTGTAAAATAATCTATGATTAAAAGAGGCACGATTTCGAGTGGCGTTATTCATGATTTATTATCTTCGTACCGCGGTTTCTAAACGCTCATAAATTAGATGAACGATCGTAGATTGCTTTACAACATTCGTTTTCTTCAGACCGAATTCGCTCCTCTGGGGTTGCAGTAGTCAGGAAGCCAGATATTTTTGACGATGGTATCGTATCTTCCTGTACTGTCCGTGGAATCCTTAAGTTATGGATTATTTATAGAATTTCAAATAATTCTAGTTTTGGGGTACTTTTATACTTTTGCAACCACTCAAATGTGTATAAATTACTACCAGGAAGAATTTTATCCATGGTCAAAAGATTAAAATATGACTTCGAGAACTTGTATAACAGAGGTCCACCATCCTTTATCGTGATATCAAATTTAATATACGAGTATATAGTACCCAACAATACATCATTTTTCCATAAGTTTAAGTTCAGTGACATGAATTCAAAGTTTGGGCTACTAATAGTAATTTTCAAAGTCCCTTTCACTCCCAATCCAACTAGTATAGAGTAAAAAGATCTAGGATTTATACCCCTTAAATTCTTACTGAATTAATTTTATTAATTTTTAATTATCATTCCTTGCTTATATATACCTTACTATAAGATCATTTAATTTAATAACTAATAATATAATAATTTTACATTTAAGGCTTTAGATAGTAAGTATTTCGTATGTTTGTTTATCATAATTTTTAAGTCAAAATATTTTGTCGTAATTTATGTTCGATATCAAAATTAACAAATATGGACTTAATTCTTCAGTTTGTCAAAAACCAAACAAAATGAACTTGCATCTCTTTACCTGTAGTGTACAGAATAAAGTCTAGAAATATAAAATTATACGTATTAGTAATAACCAGTATAGTTGTAAAATAAATTTACTTTTTACCGTAGAATTTATATAAATATATTGTTCAAAACTTATATAGTATTTTCACTCATTGTATAGATAAAACATCGTTCAATTTATATAACAAGCTTATACAATTAAAATTAAATTCTAGTAAGTTTTTGAGTTATATAAAATAGTTTAGTTAAAATGAAAGAAATTTCATAAGGTATATAAGTATTGATAAAATATAAATATTACATAACTTCTGGGTTCGGGTCAGCTAATCACATAGGCTTAGGTGCGACCGTACCTTTTGATCCCGCCTTTGATTTAAGTTAACTGAAATCGATAGATAGCTCCCGTTGAAAATGCTGAACAAAATAAATATTTAAATACCGCCGCGTTTTGAAATTTAATAAAATTCACTGAATCATAGGTGGACATCGACGAGGGAGGACTTAACCCCCCCAAATATTTTAATAGTCCCCCTAAAATCGAAAATCTGTTAGAAATTATATTCGTTGTTTTTATAATTAACTGTTCGTTTTTTTAAAAATCGTAAAATAAGAAATAATAAAAAACTGTGTACAATAGCATTAACAATACCAATTAGTTCGGCTACTTGCGAAAGAAGTTTCAGTGCAATGATAAAAATAAAAACTTAGCTAAGGACATCGTTGGTTCAAGATAGGTTTAGCGATCTTTCATTACTATATATTGAAAAAGATATATCGAAAAATATAAAAAGCGATGATATTTTGAATATCATTGTTGATAAAAATAGATATTTATCATTAAAATATGTTATTTAATGATTTTTTAATACAATTTAAACATATCTATATTTTTAATAGTAATAAGTTTTACTTGTGCATGAGAAGGGGGTGTGGGGGCGAAGTCGTTGCAGGTTGTTTTACATTGAATTATTATAGCCCCTCCAAAAATTCAACCAAATATCCGCCTATGCACTGAATACGAGTTCATAATAAATCTGATTTGATGTTTTATACATTTTATATGTGTATTTTGATATGAAAATTAAAACATATTTTAAATTTTGGATTAATTGTATGATTATGAAGAGTTTTTCGTTTTAAAAGATTATTCGCGTGTCCACAGTTAACCATTAATTATTTACTACACGTGATTTTTGATTCTAATGTGAAAATTTATACTAGTGTTGTTACATTAATTAATTTTTGTTTTTTTTTTGTTATTAAAATAATGATTAAAAGCAATTATTTTTAAGACATTTTAGATTTTTCTTTAATTTTTTTAAACCTATAGAGTTTAGGATTGATAAAACCCTCAATCATTAATTTTAAAACATTCTATACAATGCGAAGAGTCTGTACGCGTAGTTACAATAAAAATAGAAAATTACTTTGTATCTTTGTAAAACTACGAATGGATAAATTGTTATGATAGTTGTACGAATAAATTGTTTTGGTTTAATTAAAAAAAAAAAAATACAGGACTGTATAAAACCATATCTTTAGCTGTATGAATAGCTAAATTAATTTAAAATGTTATCTTTTTATCAATTATTTAATTCGATTGCTTATAAATTAGGTATATCCTCGTACATTTTGCTTAAGATTTCGTAGTGTAATTGAGATGATAGATTTTTATTTTACAAATATTTTTGATTGGAAGTTGTTATAACCAAGTAAATACGGTCATTAATAGTCTTGATATATATTATCTGTTTACTATGTTAAACGCGTATCATATTATTTATGAAATAAATGGTTTGGTTTAATCGTTGGTTCAGTAAACAATGTAAACTTAAATTCAAAAGTATTTTTTATTACGTGACTGTAAATATCATACATCTAACCACGGCCGTAATTACTTTTTTTCTCCGACCTTGACACTTTTATGTAAAAAAACTATATAATTTGCAGATTTTTCGTTAATTTTTACACTCATAATTCAATAGTAGTCAAGTGTAAAGGTTAAGCCATTTAAACAACAATATTACTTAGTTGCACGCGTTTTTTCTTTATACTACTATATAGGTTTTAAAATATTTAAGATATATGATTTCAAGCACGACATCATTAGTATACTTGCCTATTATACCAATTTCAGTTTAAAATTTATAGTTACACATTTTAAAAAAGGTCTATTCAAAAAACATTAATAATTGAGTTGAAGGTATTTCAATTAATTAATTAATTGTTTCGATTGGAAATAAAATTACATATTTAAATAATAACCTTTTTTATAATCAAAAAATTTTGTTTGGACTTGTCTTTGGAATTACAATTAAAAAGTATGTACCAATATTAAAAAGTTTAAGTTAATTTTATTTATTTATTTTTACAGAATATATATTTATAAATAACGTGTATACATTAATTGTGTTTTTAATTGGATATTATGTACCCACGATAAATCAATAAAAATTATGTAATCTCTTTAATTTATTATTTACTTAAATATATTTATTATAATTCTGGTTTAATATTATTATTTTATTCAAATCAACAACTATGATTGTTCATATTTCCGTAAAAAAACTGTGGTACCTGGATAATATTTAAACAAATAATTAGTATTATCAAGTACTTTAAAATACCGAAAAATCAATAATTACTTTGGTAATCTTATTGTAAAATATTCTACGAACGAGTAAAGACAACTGACAAAAACGATAAATTTTATACTCAATATTATTCGCATATAAAATTAGAAACCTAAAGCTTTTTTTTTTCATAAGAAAATATGTCCTCTTTATGCTTGAAAACGATCAAAAAGTATTAAATATTATTTCTTATTTACAAAATATAAATTAAATCTGAAGTTATAGTAATGATTAATAAATAATATAAAAATTCTTTACTAGTCCTAGAATCAAGATATTTTATCTATAGAAAAGTTGTTTACGGTAGTTGTTCAAATTTTTAAAATATAACTTTATGGAACCATATAATATAACTTTTATCAAGTTTGTATACATTTTAAATTTGTAGTGGGCTTACATATAGTTTTCATCTGAAAATATGAATGCCTACAAACATAAATGAGAATGAGTTTTCATAGAGATTTATTAGATGTTTTTATAGAATTTTCTTTGTATATTTTTCTGCTAACCTTAATTCAATATATTTTTTGCAGTTGTATTTTACTATTGTATATATTTTGTTCATATACAATTAATGTGTATCTTTGACTTTGTGGTTTTATAATTTTCTTTATAAATATATTTCCTAACGAGATATTATATGATGCATATTGACATCATCATATTTTTATATAATTCCGAAAGATATATGTGTGTAATGTATATTATATTTTATTCTAAGAATCTAATTTTGTAATTCATAGCAATATTAAATCATAATCATACTACTTAATTCATTGTATCCTTGTGCTCAATAATATTTTTAATGCTTTGAATTTCAGTAGTTTTAGAATGGTGATTCTTTACTTACCTGTTATGCTGAAAGTTGTTTAGGTATGAGTTAGTTTCCGAAGATGCAAGCAACAGTATTGTTTGTTGATTGTTAGTTCTTAATCCGTCCAAGAAAGTTAGGTCCTCTCGGTATTACTAGATTTCATGCGCGATAAAGTTCCTCTCCACTATACTTCAGATTAATATTTTAATGCCTTTGCACAAATAAATACTTTTTGGGTAGTATTATTCATCTATTATCCATAGCAAATGTTTATAATACAGTTTAATTATTAAGCTGTAAACGGTTTGGAAAATAAAATAATTAAAATGCTAAAAAACCGTCAGTTTGATACAAATTATTTTAAAATGCAATAGAACGAGCTAGTATTGTAACATTATTCGTGTAAATCT